CTGCTTTGGCACGGTTGCGGGTTGGTCATACTCGCTTAACCCACGGTCACTTAATGGAGCGCCGCCCTGCTTCTTATTGTCTGAATTGCGTTGTCCCTCTTACAGTTGTCCATATCCTTGTTGAATGTCCTGACTTCCAGGACGAGCATGTGTCTTGCTTTCCGACCGCCCCTCGCGGTCACTTGTCCCTCGATAGAATTCTCGGTGAATCGGATACTTTTGATATCGTTCGCCTTATGCGTTTATGTTCTCGTATTGGCATTCTTGGTGATATTTAGCGCCCTCTTAATATTTAATAAGTATTTGTTTAATGTGCCCCATATATCCATTGTGAATAACATATCCATCCTGTGAGCGGTTGTTTGCTGTGCACTTACTCATCCAATAAGTGGTAATTTGTTTATCCCAATCTTATCCTTTTAGTGGTAGTTTACTGTGAACCCCGAACTCATCCTGTGAGTGGAAATTTATATAGCATACTCGTATAGCATTTATATATATATATGTGTATAAATGCTTATATAGCATTTATACACAGTATACTCGTTCTGTAGCGGTAATTTTTGTGTATCTCATACTCATCCTGTGTGGTAGTTTGTGCAACCCCATATCCTATGTGTAGTAGACTATTGTGTAGCTACTACTGATCCTGTGAGCGGTACGCTTTTGAGAACTCCTTACTCATCCTGTGAAAGGTAGTTTATCCTGATCCCTATACTCATCCTGTGAGCTGTATTTACTCTACATCCCATGCGCATATTTTTGAAAGGTAGTTCACCTAATAATTATTCTGTGTGGTAGTTTCTTGTGGATACCTTACTCATCCTGTAAGCAGTGGTTTATTGTGCACCTTATCTTGTGGGTGGTAGTGTACTGTGCACTTTATAATCATCCTATGAGGAGTAGTGATAAAGGATCGCAGAGTGGAGAAAATAATTTAAGACCTCAGTGGATGTTGTTCATATTACAGCTATTATTGTTTATCTTCAATATATGTATAATAAACGCACGTATCAGGCTGCCTTGCAGTGTGGCAACTGTGTGGCAATATACATTACTCATTAGAGGGAAGATATTTTGGTAACACTGAATATAATTTTCAGTGTTGGATATTAAAGGTAATTAGAAGGGTTTCTAACACTGAGGTTAGGATACACTGCTAATGTTTTCATAACATATATTTTCAGGTATGAGGGTGTGAAATAAAATATGGAAAGAATGCAAGAAATCTCGAATGTTTTATCATAATCAATAAAGTGATCTGTTATTTCCTGCAACGAAAGTTTAAACTCTAAATGGCTTACGTTTTAGACTGGATAGTAAAGCGGCGGTCTCACTTCTTGCAGGTCGGCGGTCAATCCCTGACTGCCCAAGTGGTTGGGCACCATTCCTTTTCCCTTTCTCGTCCTATCCCAAATCCTTATCCTGATCCCTTCCTAGTGCTGTATAGTCGTAATGGCTTAGCTCTTTCTCCTGATAATTACCTTACCTTACGTTTCCAAACAATAAGATGCAATGCTTTAGTGTGTTTCATGCCTTCTACATTCCCCCACAAGCTGAGCTGCCAGAGATACTTGTAGCCAAGAAGCATGTTAACATCGACGCCTTATATGATGCTACAGATTTTGTTATAAGATACATATAAGAGTTCTCTTAGACACAGCTCATTATGACAGACACTGGATCCACCAGCTCCTACTTGCACTTCTCCGCTATCTTAAGACTTATCTATAAGCCTGAGCAGAGACCGAGCCACAGGCACGTTGTTCCTCGGAACCATCTCAAGGTAACCGCAAGACGTTATCTGCAGACACTTTTTTTTTGGTTATTTACCTGACGGTCAATAAGGCACAAGGAAGAGTAATAATTATTAATTACAATTATTATAATAATAATAAATCATTAATGATTTATTATTATTCCTTCGGCTGGGTTATGAAGGAAGCCGGCCTCGGGTGAAAGGTGGCTGTGACGATCTGTCTGGAACCCGTAGGTGCGGGGCTCAAACATCCACCTCCTGGGGCTCGTGCGGTCCAGGCTCAGCTTCAGGAGGCTGGGGTCGTTCTTGCCCCTTGCTGGGGTGGTTCTTCTCCGGCCCCGACCACGGCGGTCTCCGGGTTTAGAGTCCCTGTGCGTGCTATCACCAACCTTGAGGTAATCTCCGGAGCTAGAGTTCCCAGGGCAGTTTGTTGCTGTGTTCAACCTCATTCTGACAGTTTCTGCGACGGCGATTGAACCAATCGTTTTGGCGCGTGCCTTTCCATTGAACACTTTTGGTGCCGTGGAGAGGGGGGTGGGGTGTTGCTGCTTGGGTAACAGCTTCTCCCCCGTATCAACCTACCCCTCCCTTTACGCCCTGGAGAGGCCACTCCAGACCGACAACCAGAGCGCAACTCCGTGGTCTCCTGAAACTGATAGATGCCTACTACTGCTAATTACTACAATACCGCTAGTAACGTCGACGAAGACAGGAAGCCGGCGGCTAGTCGAAGGTTCCCCCCCTCCCCCATTTTCCTGAAATGAGATTATATATAGTTTATATATAATAACTCAAGAATGTGACAGTTATTTTCTTCATTTAGTGCAAATTAATTGGCAAAAAGGGCTCAATTTGATCATCTTTCGGAAGACCTGTGCATGAAGGAGAAAGGTGTTTAGTACACTGGACGCCACTAAAACATGCTTGTGGACGCCACTAAAACATGTTTGTGGACGCCACTAAAACATGTTTGTGGACGCCACTAAAACATGCTTGTGGACGCCACTAAAACATGTTTGTGGACGCCACTAAAACATGTTTGTGGACGCCACTAAAACATGCTTGTGGACGCCACTAAAACATGCTTGTGGACGCCACTAAAACATGTTTGTGGACGCCACTAAAACATGTTTGTGGACGCCACTAAAACATGTTTGTGGACGCCATCTGGGAATGCTGCGAGACAGAGATTCAAATACAGGTCCTGTCGTCAGACGGCCAACTGCGCCGGCCCTGACTTACAACTACCCTACTGCTGCCGCCGGAGCCTTTCCCAGGCAGATAACTGGGTGCAGCTCCCAAGGCTATCCTTGTGAACCGCACCCAAGGTTATCCTACTTATATGTTTGTTTTTAAATCTTAGGACATCAGTGTGAAATGTTTTAAATAATACTAAGAAAAACTGAAATAAAATAATAATGTTTAGTCAATCTATTATAAAATCTGGGATTATTGTTGGCACCGTGTCAAGAGTCTATACCCGGATCCTACCATGTTCGTCACATACCCCACAGGAATCAGGGTTCAAAGTGAGGTGATGCTAGCCCCACGTGTTTGTCCTCCACCCTTCGAACACACAAAAACACATTATAATTTAGAGATATTGATGGCTGAAAAAGCATCACCTTTTTTCTGTTCTACACTGTGGCTTGCCGAGGTGTAAACCGTTGACCCCTTGTGTGCGTTACATTTGACCCATTAAAGGACTGATCTGGATTAATGTCCTCCATCTTGATGATGGACCTGACCTCTGACTCGCCGCCCTTAGCACGTTAAGCTGACATGGCTCACTGGGTCCTCTTGACTAGTCAAAAATTTTCCTGTTTCAAAGGGATCGCCCTTGAGACTGGTAATCGTGGCCCCGCTGGCCAAGGAATGCCCAAGGACGCTCAACTAACTGGTTTGAGATAAGGGCACAGTTTACACTGACTTCTCTGTATACAGAAACGTATTGAGCATGGTATACACTGACGTCACTGTACACTATACATTCAAGGGCATGGTATACACTGACGTCACTGTACACTATACATTCAAGGGCATGATGTACACTGACGGTACTGTACAATATACCATCATGGGCACGGTATACAATGTCATTGTTCACTATGCCTTCAAGGGCATGATGTACACTGTACCTTCACCTGCATGGTATACACTGACGCCACTGTACCCTCACGGCCATAAGGTGCACTGACGTCACTCTACAGTGCACCCTCACTACACAGTTCGTATCTAACAGTTACTATCAAGCAGTGACTACGGGAAAATGAGCTTAATTGCTCTTCATGACCCATCTATTATAGCCGTCTTGTTCCTTTTATTTTATAATTATAATAATTATAATATTAATATTTATAAATTATATATAGGAACATGGTACAATGGTTGATTAGTAACTAAAAATAGTATACATTATATAATACCGCTAATTATAAGCAGTGTTAGAATTCTTTGTCGAATTTGTCCATTAATATGTGAATGGAAGGCATCCATTTTTGTTATGGACCTCATCATATTCAATGGGCTGAGGTGGACCCCATATGGGTCAAGCACATGCAAAAGCCTTTCACTCACGCGCATGCTGGCAATTTGTCACAATGATTCACTTTATCTTTTCAAATTCTAAGAATAATGTGGATGCCATATGGGTCCATAGTTTTCATCTTTGGACTGTGGTGGATCCGATACCCATCCTGTGGACTGTGGTGGACTCCACATTCATTCTGTGGGCTGTGGAGGACCCCACAGTCAGTCTGTAGGCTGTGGAGGACCCCACACTAAAACCAATGGAGGTGGTTGACTCCACAGCCCCCATTCATAACACCAACAACAAACCTCATTCACTACAAACTAACAACAATTCCCACTATTCACTACAAATTAACGACAACCCCCCATTTAATACCAACGAAAGTGAACCCCAGACATCAACTACAAATGTTAACACAGTGCACAGTTACAAACCCAATAAAATTTCAATTTAGATTCAACAGAGCAGAAGTTGTTGTTAAACACATGGGGCAAAATCTTACTGAAGCGACCATACGAGTCATAAAAACTCTCACTCCGCCATGTAAAACAGAAACATGCAACACTTCGTGGGGGAGCCAGAGGCTTAGGACCCGCGCAGGAATATCCCTGGAAAAAAAAAACTACAAACGTAACAGGTTTACGCACCCCGCGCCCCGCCCCCATCCAAGATCATCAGATAGCCAGCTTCCTGCAAGACATGACCAGTCCCACGCCAGCCTTGGCGGCAGCATGCTGCTCGTAGCCGAGCCCAGTGGTGCCTAGCGAAGCCTCAGCCTCGCCTAAGGCTAACCCTACCATGCCTATATTTTCCAGGAATCAGGATTACACTGAAGGATACTGCGAGTGTCCCACTACTACGACTCCGGGAACAACAACGTCAGTGACGACCACCTGCAGGCAGACGCCAAGGTTGGTATGTTCCTCTTGCTTATACTGACAACTGAAATACCCCCATGTATACCCAGCGTGGACCGTAGTGGCAACACACTGTACCATGTAGGGGGGAGAGACTGTACCATGTAGTGGGGAGACACTGTACCGTGTACTGGAGACACACTGTACCGTGTACTGGAGACACACTGTACCGTGTAGTGGTGACACACTGTACCGTGTAGTGGAGAGGCACTGTACGATGTAGGGGGGAGAGACTGTACTATGTAGTGGTGACACACTGTACCGTGTAGTGGAGAGGCACTGTACGATGTAGGGGGGAGAGACTGTACTATGTAGTGGTGACACACTGTACCATGTAGTGGAGACGCACTGTATCGTGTAGTGGAGACGCACTGTACCGTGTAGTGGAGACGCACTGTACCGTACAGGGGAGACGCACTGTACCGTGCAGTGGAGACACTGTACCGTGCAGTGGAGACACTGTATCGTGTAGTGGAGACGCACTGTACCGTGTAGTGGAGACACTGTACCGTGTAGTGGAGACGCACTGTATCGTGTAGTGGAGACGCACTGTATCGTGTAGTGGCGACGCACTGTACCGTGCAGTGGCGACGCACTGTACTGCGCAGTGGCAACGCACTGTACCGCGTAGTGGCGATGCACTGTAGCGCGCAATGGTGACGCACTGTACCGAGCAGTGGCGACGCACTGTACCGCGTAGTGGCGACGCACTGTACCGAGCAGTGGCGACGCACTGTACCGAGCAGTGGCGACGCACTGTACCGAGCAGTGGCGACGCACTGTACCGAGCAGTGGCGACGCACTGTACCATTGTTATGATCCCTGGCAGCCGAAAAACGAGTCTCCCCTTGAGAATTATTCTATCAAGCCTGACCTGACTATAAGGTCTGGGAAATATGGAGGTGAAGACACTGATGTAAAGTAGCTGGTTGGATATGATGAACAATTTTTGATTATGGGCAGTGAATAAGAAAATAGATAAATGACTGGTTAGGAGATGTGGATATTTTGCTGGAGGTGTGAGGCTTGCTTCTGGAGGGCTTTGATCTCACTTGAGTGCCAAACATTGCAGGGGGAAGCCGCGCTCCGTTTGAGCTCCTGTCAGAAAGGAACCCCTAGTGATATATCTCCAAGAGAAGAGAAATGTGCAGACGTGCCAGCTGTGGAATTGAGCTGGGAACGTTGTGGTCTCAAGTCCTGGACGGCGAGGAGTGTTTATTAAGCCGCCCAGAGACATTATCGTGGGCGGTGGGAGTGCCCTGACCAGGCTCTGTCAGAGGGAGGAGCATCCTCTACCAGACAATCTGTGGTAAGCACGATTTAAGCCAGTTCATAGTGATTGCTTGTAGTTGGTCGTGTGCCCAGCGACAGTAGCAATGTTTATTGATAAGTTAGACATGTTTTGATAAGGCAGAAGGCATAAAATAAGAGTGGAGAGGGAGGAACACGAAGCGACGTCCATCCTCTCTGAGCGCTGGCAGGTGACTGAGAGCTCCCGACGGCAGAGGACCCTCCCAGAGTGAGTGAGGCCCGCCAGGCGAGGTGGAGCATGGACCGGCCCAAAACGGGGGAGTCCACTCTCATTGTATGTAGAGAGCAGATAGATGTTGGAGGCAAACATATTGTGTGGTTATTTTTGTTTATGTGTTTAAGGGGAAACATTTTTATTGGAGTGCCAATGGGTTGCAGGTTTGTCTTTGGGGAAGAAGTTGTTGAGAACTTCGAAGCCAGCACAGAGGGAGTAGTTGATGAGACTCCAAGGTAGTGGAGGAGAGGACCTCGAGCTGTGAGGAGAAGCAGTGAAGAAGAGTGTCACGTGCTTCTGTAGAGGTGGTGAAGCACCATAGTTGTTCGAGGAAACTTCATGGTAGCAGCCTGAAGGAGCTGCAGAGGATCCTGGTAGTTAAACCTGGAAGAACCTGAAGAGATCAGGGTAGTGAACTTCCAGATGTGGAAGGGAAGTTCTGAATGATTACTTGTAGGGAGGTGATAGTGTTTGGCTGTCATTAGCGTGCAAGACGCAGTGAAAGGCGAGTGCTTGTTTGCCAATTTCGTGCCAAGGAGTGCTTATACTGAAGCATAGAGTTACAGTCGTAGGCTGGATTACCTACAGATGTATGTGTTCTAGGATTGATAGAGTGATCGATTGATCATTGTTGTGTATCAAGGAACATTTATACTGATATATGTTGTTGCATTCATACGCTGATTTTCCTTGAACATGTTTACATATATATATTCTCTTGCTGATAGTGCAACATTGTATTATACGACTTGACCTACTTGAGGAGGTTGGTAATATTAGGTGGTCAACCAGGAGATAGGATACCACTTGATAAGCTGAGGATAGAGTTCTGATGGTGTTGGAGTGCAACCTGACTGAAATAGTGTAGAGTATAGGATTCATTATTATTATATGTGTATATGTATTGTGTATGTGCTCAAACCAGTAAATGTATTCAAATTTGCTGGTGTTTGACCCTGTCCTAGCGAGGCTTCCCAGGAGGTAGTAAAGAAGGAGAGAGAGAGAGAGAGAGAACCAAAAACCAATGCTGTGGACAGGGTAGAAGGTAATACTGATAACTCAAAGGGGATTGAGGAGATCAAATCTCATAAGGAGAGAGTAGGGAGTCACAGTGGCTCGAGTGGGTGTGTACACGTTACAACGTGGCTAAATGTTGGAGCCGCATCCCCTAAATGTGTGACGTTGAGCCCCTCTCCAAGAGCCAGAAGCGCCCAGTGTGATCTCCTGGTAAAGTATAAGCACTCCACCGAGTTGTGGGTTGGGTTGTCTGTAAAGAAGGATCAACAACGCGACACCACCACCAACCTACCCACAATATTAGACCATGTTGGCGACATACTGTACCATGTAGTTGCGGCAGAGGATACTATGTAGTGGCGACAAGTAGTAAGAAGAGAGACAAGAAGGGAATTTCTTTTCGTAAAACGATTGGGCAGTATCGGACCGACTAGACGTCCGGGGGGCTGGGGGTATCTGCATGGTCTCGCCTAGTTGTGCCTTGTTGGTATTCTGCACCTGGCAATGTTGTATGTTTAATCATGTGTTGAGAGAGACTGGTGTTGCAATAAAAATTATAGTGTTTCTAAATAAGAAACAAGCACAAGGGAATGGAATAAAGCGCGAGATGTTTATATTTTTTGAGTATTTTAGTAACAAAATTATCTGTTTATGTAAATAAATAGGGCAGTATATCTCTCAGTAATTCCTGATGCCTGTATTTGAAATAAAAGGTGATGCCTGCATTTCACCCCAATAATGAAAAATGCGAGTCCCTATTTTATTCCCCTCCCCCCTCTTAATAAGGTCGCAGTATCAATAAGCAGGTCAAAAACTAATAAATAAAATAGGGTTGAGACTCTCATTTATTTTGGGGTCCCCTCATTTTACATGCCAGTCACCCAACCATATTTTCCCTAGATCGTGTTCCAAAGATAATCACCTGCAGGGGGAGGGTTCAGGTAGCCACCAGCAATATACCTCCCTCAGGGACAATAAGTAGTTATTTCCCCGGGGCCTTATTTGGATTAAAAAAAAACTCTTGTGTTCTACGTCAGAGCTCCGGGTATCCTCACAGAATCCCCCAACAGTCATACCCCAGTAGTGGAAACCCGGAGAAGTCGCAACCGTTTTGTTTTTTTCCCACGGCATCGATTTGTCCGCCGGACAAGTCACAGCCATTTTCGTTTTTTGAATGGCAACGATTTGTCCGCCAGACAAGTCGCATCCTTTTTGTTTTTTCCTCAAGCTTCAGGGGGATTAAATGGCCGGCTCCCGTCCGGCCTGTTTTTTGTTACCACGGCGAGTGATTGCTCGTACAGTGACCTGCACAGGCGTATTCCTCTTCCCACATTAATCCCGTTTTAAACCCATTTTCATATTGTTTCCCGTTTTTCAAAGATCCTTTTCTAGCTAAGATCACATATTGAACATAAGAAATCATATTGCAGAAGGTCTTTGTAATGGTTCCCATACAGGATCTCCTATTTACGTCCAATCTATGCAGAAGGTCTATCTCCTTTTCAATTAATACCCCCATTCATCTCCATTTATCCATTAATGCACTTCAATCATTTCACTCCTTCAATATTCAAAAGGTGCTATTTTCACACCTTACCTATTTGGACCTCACATTTAGTGTCCAACCAAAGAGCGTTTATTGAGCATAGAAATGAATGAAATCCACTATCTCCCATTCGTATGAAACAAGGGGGAGTGGGGGGGGGGAACATACAGCATGAACTGACAAATATCTCATTTGCGTCAACATTATATGACTCTACACTACTGAACCTCCTGTTGAAATATCCGACATACATATATTTTGATTATGTAATTTAAAAAAAAAAGATATATATATATATATATATATATATATATATATATATATATATATATATATAATATCATACCATATAGGAAAAATATACAGGAAATTCCTTAAGTACTATCGTATATATAATATATCTATATATATATATATATATGAAGATGTATTTAATAAACGACAAGTGAAGATTAAGGAATCTCCTGGACAACACCCCACCGTGGTCTCGAATCCATTGCACAACTACCTTCCAGTAGCTGCCATTTTCTAGTACGATATAACCTACTACACCATCAGACCCTACAAAAGATAGAGATTATATAGATATATATATCTAAATATCTCCACTTCCCGAGGGCGCCATATAAGTATGAGGTATCTGCGTTTTCATCAAGCCACTGTCAATGTGGGGAACTCGTGTCCATGCTATAAGCCTATACTTGCATAAACCACAAGTGAAGATTAACAATCTTTGGACAACACCCACCAGTGGGACTCGAACCCAGAAAGCACAACTACCTTCCAGTAGCTGCCATAACTAGTACGCTTTAACCCACTACACCATCAGACCCTACAAAAGAAGTAGAGACTTCGAGATATATATACATCTCAAATATCTCCACTTCCCGAGGGCGCCAGATAAGTGTGAGGTTAGTCTGCGTTTTTCATCAAGCCACTGTCAATGTGAGAGAACTCGTGTCCATGCTATAAGCCTATACTTGCATAAACCACAAGTGAAGATTAACAATCTTTGGACAACACCCACCAGTGGGACTCGAACCCAGAAAGCACAACTACCTTCCAGTAGCTGCCATAACTAGTACACTTTAACCCATTACACCATCAGACCCTACAAAAGAAGTAGAGACTTCGAGATATATATACATCTCAAATATCTCCACTTCCCGAGGGCGCCAGATAAGTGTGAGGTTAGTCTGCGTTTTTCATCAAGCCACTGTCAATGTGAGAGAACTCGTGTCCATGCTATAAGCCTATACTTGCATAAACCACAAGTGAAGATTAACAATCTTTGGACAACACCCACCACTGGTGGGTGGAGTCCCACTGGAGTGGAAGGAGCTAGGAGGAGGGCGAGGAGGAAGGAGGATGAAGACGAGGAGGAAGGAGGAGGGAGAAGAAGAGCGAGGAGGAAGGAGGAAAAAGAGGGCAAGGAGGAAGGAGGAGAAGGGCGAGGAGGAAGGAGGGTGAGGAGGGCGAGGAGGAAGGAGGAAGAGGAGGGCGAGGAGGAAGGAGGAGGAGGGGGGCGAGGAGGAAAGAGGAGGAGGGGGGCGAGGAGGAAGGAGGGTGAGGAGGGAGGAAGGAGGGCGAGGAGGAAGGAGGAGGAGGAGGAAGGCGAGGAATAAGGAACGGAAGGAGGAGGAGGGCTAGGAGGAAGGAGGAGGAGGAAGGCGAGGAATAAGGAACGGAAGGAGGAGGAGGGCTAGGAGGAAGGAGGATGAGGTAGAGGAGGAAGGAGGAGGACCTCGGGGAGGGGGGAACTAAGTGACGGAGGAGAAGAGGAGGGGTAGAAGTAGTAGAGGTAAACGGGGGAGGGAGGGCGAAGAGGAGGAGTGTGGGAAGGAGGATGAGAAGGAAGGGGAAGTGGAAGGGGTGAAGGTAGGGGGAAGAAGTAAGAGAACGGGGCGGTAAGGAGGGGGAGAGGTAAAAGAGGGGGGATGGGGAGGAGGGCGAAAAGGAGGGGTAACAGACGGTGATGAGGAGGAAGGGGAAGAGGAGAGGGAGGGGTAAGAGAAGGGTGGATGAGGAGGAGGGGAGGTTGGGGAAGAGAAGGAGGATGAAAATGAGGAGGAAGGGGAAGAGGAGGGGGATGAGGAGGAATGGGAAGAGGAGGGGGTAAGAGAAAGGGAAAGAGAATGGGGTAGGGGTAAGAGAAGGGGGGAGGGGGTAAGGGAAGGGGGATGAGGAGTGGAGAGGGGGTAAGAGAAGGGGGGATGTGAAGGAAGGGAAAGAGGAGGAGAAGAGGGGAGGGGTAAGAGAAAGGGAATGAGAAGGAGGGGGAAGAGAGGAAGATGGGGAGGGAGTGTAACAGGTTAAGTGTGACGGCTGGGGCATGTACACTTAAGGCCTACAGAGTTGCCATGACGTGTTAGGGCGCTGGATTAAACAGGCATGTCTTGGTAGATGACTATGGTGTGTTCATCTTCATAAAATACAGCAAGAAAAATAAAGAATTAGATAATAATGTTTTACATTAATTTATCTCTGATTTTACTAATGAATTAAATTAATATTATTAAGTGAACATGCAGGTTGGCGAGGCAGCGACGGTTGTGATGTGGCAACGGTCAGCTGGTACCCAGCTGACCGTCAGCTGAACTGAATAATACAGAAGATGCCCATTGGGGCGAGCCTTGAAGTGGGGACAGCTGAAGAGTAGTCGGTGAGAGGAAATGCTGAAGTTGCAGAAAAAAGTGCCAGGGCTAAACCCAGCTGCGTGGCAATACGTCGATGCTGCAAACAACCCAACAACTGGCTAGGCTTGGAGGCGGGTCTGGAAGGCGGCGGTGGCAGTGCTTCTACATTCAAGGTGGAAACAATCTGTCTTCAGGTGGTGTCTTCTTCTTCTTCAATTTGGTGTTTCTTCTTTCTTCTTGCTTCGAGTAATCATTTGATGTTTGTTCTCGGCGTAGTCTGGTGGGAAAAGGTCCTTTGACAATGTGGTTTCGTCGCATTCAAATAAGATTACTTCGTTCCTTAGTGTGTACTTTGAGTCTGAGTTTGAGACCATCGCCCAGGTGGGACAGTGTTTATACCCGCGCGTAGTGACCAACACCCCCTCCCCCTGGTCTACCCCTGCTCTTCCCCTTCCTTCTCTTACCCCTCCCCCTGCTCTACCCCTTCCTTCTCTTACCCCTCCCCCTGCTCTTCCCCTTCCTTCTCTTACCCCTTCCCCTGCTCAGCCCCTTCCTCCTCATCCCCCCTTCTCTTCCCCTCCTCCCTCCCCTTCCCCTTCCTTCTCGTCCCCTTTCTCTTACTCCTCCTCTTCCCCCTCCCCCCTCTTACCTGTACTACTCCTACCCCCTGCTATTCTTTCCCCCCCTCTTCTCCTCCATTATCTAATTCTCCCCTTTCCCCCCCCCCAGACGTCCTGCTCCTTCCCCCTCCTCCTTTCCTCTCCCCCTTCTTCCTCTTTCCTCTTAGACCTACTCCTTCCTCTTTTTCATTCTCCTTCCTCCTCTGCCTCGACCTCCTCCTCCTCTTTCCTCCTTCATCTCCTCCTTCCTCCTCGATCTCCTCCTCCTCGACCTCATCCTTCTACTTGGAATTTTTCCTCCTTCCTCCTCGTCCTCCTATTCCTTCTCGCCCTCCTCCTCGCTCTCCTTCTTCCTAGCCCTCTTCCTACTTCCTCCTCTTTCCTCCTTCCTCCTCTTTCCTCCTTCCTCCTCTTTCCTCCTTCCTCCTCGCTCGCCTCCTCCTTTCTCCTCGCCCTCCTCCTTCCTCCTCCTCCTCGCCTTCCTTCCTCCACCTCCTTCCTCTTCGGCCTCCTCCTCCTCCTCCTAGTCCCTTCCTCCTCCCCCTCCTCCTTCCTCCTTGCCCCTCCTTCCTCCACCTCCTTCTTCCTCGCTCTCCTCCTTCCTCTTCACCCTCCTTTTTCTCCTTCCTCCTCGCTCTCCTCCTCCTTCCTTCCCGCCTTTCTCCTTACTCCTCACCCGCCTCTTCCTCCCTCTCCCTCCTCCTCCTCCTCTCCTTCCTCCTCGCCCTCCTCCTCCTTCCTCGGCCTCCTCCTTCCTACTCGCCCTCCTCCTCCTCCTTCCTCCTCGCCCTCCTCCTCCTTCCTCGGCCTCCTCCTTCCTACTCGCCCTCCTCCTCCTCCTTTCTCCTCGCCCTCCTCCTCCATCCTCCTTGCCCTCCTCCTTCCTCCTCCTCCTTCCTCCTCGCCTTCCTCCTCCTCCTCCCTCTTCGCCCTTTTCCTTCCTCCTCGCCCTCCTCCTTCCTCCTCGCCCTCCTCCTCCTTCCTCCTCGCCCTCCTCCTCCTTCCTCCTCCTCCTTCCTCCTCCTCCTTCCTCCTCCTCCTTCTCCCTCTTCGCCCTTTTCCTTCCTCCTCCTCCTCCCTCTTCGCCCTTTTCCTTCCTCCTCCTCCCTCTTCGCCCTTTTCCTTCCTCCTCCTCCTTCCTCCTCGCTCTCCTTCTTCTTCCTCCTCGCCCTCCTCCTCCTTCCTCCTCGCCCGCATTCCTCCTCGCCCTCATTCTTCCTCGCCCTACTCCTCCTCGCCCTACTCCTCAACGTCCTCTTTAACTTCCTCCTCTACCTCATCCTCCTTCCTCCTCTGCCTCGACCTCCTCCTTCCTCCTCTGCCTCGACCTCCTCCTTCCTCCTCGACCTCTTCCTGAGAATATGAGTAAAAATGGTGAATTAACCTTTATTATGACCCTGTTTCATTTTACTAAATGTAGAAATATACTTTTATATTTCTACATTTATATAAATAACAGCAATAAAAAACTACGAATATGAAACATTTAAGGTTGCCACAATGTTTCAAATATTTTTTAGCCAACGTTTTGTGCAATACGTTTTAGAAACTTATTTACATCCACACAAAATTACGCATTTAATGCGTGAAAACAAACGTTGCCAATACTTTCCAACACTTTCCAGATACGTTTTGGCAACCTAAAATTGTTTCCTGGGATGTTACTCGCCCTGGTATTGCTTTATTACTCTCTCCTCTATGCTTATCTCACATACAGTATCTGTGCCTGGGGTTCTACTACCAAAAATTATATACCTCTAATTACTCAACACATTACTCAACTTTGTCTGAAGCAAGAAATCTAAACTGTTAATCATGGTTGACTTCAAGCATGGAGAGGTAGACTTGGAAAATAGAGAACCACAAGGATGTTCAGAAACATGGAGAGCCAAAATATTAGAAATGACAACAAGGAACTTTCGAAGCCAACGTGTCAAGGGGCCCACAAGAATGAGAAGAAATGATGAACCAGGCAAACTTGATATATTTACCTTGAACGAGTCAGACATAAGGGAAGTCAAATCGGAATCTTACACAGGAATGAATGAGCGACCAAACTCGAAAAATGTTTGGAATTTTGTAGGCCACTCCCAGTATATGGAAGTGCATTTTAAAAGCACTACACTCACCTTCTGTGGTTCATTGTTCAAATAAATCACCGAGCTATACGTATAACAGATCTCTAACCCTTGTCCATGGAGAACAGAAGAAAATGTATATATGCTGGTTACCATTGTAAATGTATGATTTCGTCTGTGGTAGAAAAAATATTGTTGAGTTTGGGTCTGTACCCTTGATTTTGAACTGTGAAAATATGTATTCCACACAGGAGTCTTTTGCTTTGATAATTCTTAGTGTGATAGTTCCCGGGGATAATTAATAACAAACGCGAACAAATAATTTCTAGATTAGTCAACAGTTGTGGACAGCTGAGTAGTTAGGTATGTTAAGTAGTTGGGTGAAGTAAATATGTTTGCATGTGAGTGTTTTTTCAATTGTATTAATTATTTACTTATATATTACTACAGATTATGTACAATCGTGGCTGCTGCGTTGGTGGGCGTGGTGGTGACGGCGGCCTTCATGTTCACCATGTGTAGTTCCTCTAAGCCAGCAACACAGGAATCCCAGACGACTTTGAACAGCACTACCACCAGTGTCCCTAGCACTGCTGCTCATAATAAAGACGTGCCTAGGGAAACTTATTTTAAAATTTCAACGATGTTCAATTTGTTATATAACAACTGTCATCACATTGACTGGCTAGATCATAGTTCACTTGTGAAGGAATCTGGGAAGCTTGCTTACTTCTCCATCAGGAGATGCAAGGAGGAACTAAACCCTTGCCCATACGACTCACATCATTCAGAAGAAATGATGCTTGTTGTAAAACCGCGGCAGAATAAAACAGTGAATATGAAAATTGAAAATGAAAAGGATAATTCAACAATAATCCTGGCAGTGACTTTCGAGGAGGATAAAAAGTGCGGGTGTCGGAATAATACATTTTGGAATAAAACGGCCGGGGACGAGAAGCCCTCAAATACGACTGTTCCCTGTGTGTACAGGGTGGTGGATACCACTAACAATCGGGACCTCAACTGCAACACCTGCTCTGGGCAGTAGGCTTTGACAGTACACAATCTGGATAATGTGAGTTGACATTCCACTCTGGATAAAAGGCTTTGGCAGTACATTCTCTGGATAATAGGCTTTGACAGTACACAATCTGGATAATGTGAGTTGACATTCCACTCTGGATAAAAGGCTTTGGCAGTACATTCTCTGGATAATAGGCTTTGACAGTACACACTCTGGATAATGTGAGTTGACATTCCACTCTGGATAAAAGGCTTTGGCAGTACATTCTCTGGATAATAGGCTTTGACAGTCCACACCCTGGATAACAACATTGAAGCTTCATACACCGGATAATAGGAACTGACAATCCACAAAACACAGATATAAAACGAGACAGCGAGTCGTGAAGACCATTTATAGGCAAATGTTTTACTTGTATAATTCCCTTGCAACTATCAGCCCGTGACCATGTGTTTTATTTACATCATGTAGCAATGTATTTTTGTTTACATTACGTGGCCATGCAGTTTTTTTTTACATCACATAGCCATAAAGTTTTGTCAACACGTGGCCATGAAGTTTTGTTTACATCACGTTGCAATGCAGTTTTGTTTACATCACGTGGCCATATAGTTTTGTTTACATCACATGATCATGCAGTTTATTTTACATTAGGTGACTATGCAGTGTTGTTTATATCACGTGGCTATGCAGTTTTGTTCACATAATGTGACCATATGGTTTTCTTTACATCACAGTCATGCAGTTTAGTTTATATCATGTAGCCTTGCAGTATTGTCTACACGTATTCACCTGGTTGTGCTTTCGGGGGTTGAGCTCTGGCTCTTTTGGCCTGCCTCTCAACTGTCAATCAACTGATTTGTTCACACACACACAAGTGTGTGTGTGTGTGTGAGAGAGAGCTCTCTGACCAAAGAGCCAGAGCTCAACACCTGCAAGCACAACTAGGTGAGTACACACACACACACACACACACACACACATGCGCGGGCGGGCAGGCGCCGGTGGCTGTGTGGACAGCACGCTTTACACGTAATCCTGTGACCCGAGTTCGATTCCCAACGCCGGCGAGAAACAATGGGCAGAGTTTTTCACCCTGATGCGCTGTTACCTAGCAGTAAATAAGTACCTGGGAGTTATACAGCTGTTACAGGCTGCTTCTTTGTGTGTGTGTGTGTGTGTGTGTGTGTGTGTGTGTGTGTGTGTGTGTGTGTGTGTGTGTGTGTGTGTGTGTGTGTGTGTGTGTGTGTGTGTGTGTGTGTGTGTGTGTGTGTGAAAAAAATTAGTTAATAGTTTGTAACAGTTGATTGATTGACAGCTGAGAGGCGGGCCGAAAGAGCAGAGCTTAACCCCCGCAAGCACAACTAGGTGAATACACACACAGGAAGCAGCCCGTAGCATCTTTCTAACTCCCAGGTAAATATTTACTGCTAGGTAACAGGGGTATCAGGGTGAAACAATTTTTGCTCATTTGTTTCCGTAATCGCCGAGGATCGATCCCCGGTCCATGTAGCCATGTAGTTTTGTTCCTGTTCCGTACTGTCCTGTACTGTCCAAGTACCTAGTCCCTCTACATGGCCATGTAGTTTATTACATCACTTGGCCACATAATTGTTGTTTTTTTTACATCACGTGGCCAAATATTTTTTCTTTACATCATAAAAAAAAAATAAAATGTTTATTTAGGTAAGGTACATACATACAATAATTTTTTACAAAGATTGGTTGACTTATAGGTAGAGCTAGTACATACAATGCCTAAAGCCACTATTACGCAAAGCGTTTCGGGCATAGAAACGCCATACTGTTTTGGTGGCCATACTGTTTTGTTTACATCACACGGCCATGCATTTTTGTTTACATCACACGGCCATGCATTTTTGTTTACATCACATGACTATGTAGTCTTGTTCAGATCACACAGCAATGCAGTCACGCAGCATCATGTCAGTAAATGGTATGACACCTTAGCAGGAACATTTTGTTTCTGGAAATGTGCTCACTGTGGTCTTAAGGAATTCTTATGGGGAAAATTCCTCGCTATGGTATTTAGGAATTCTTACATCGAAATGTTCACACTGCACTATTAAGAAATTCTTATGGAGAAAAGTCGTCGGTGCTGAAAATGTTCCGACTGTGGTGTTAAGGAATTCTTTGGGGTAAAATACTCACGCGGTCTTATGGAGAAAATGTTCCTGCTGCATTCCTAAGGAATTCTTATATGGAACTGTTCCTGCTGCAGTGTTAAGTAATTCTTATAGAGAAAATGTCCCCGCTGTGGTGTTAAGGAATTCTTAAGAGGAAAAATACTCGCTGGTGTCTTAAGGAACTGTTGTAGAGAAAATATAATAAAAAAAACTGTACCCGTTTAAGAGATAAATTAAGGCCGAAGGTTATCCATTTTCAGAGGATATGTTAATTATGAGTGTGCTAAGTAATTAATAATATCAAATGCTAGTTCTTGGACCAGCCTCTTAATGTTTATAGGTGTAGTTGTACTACTATCAACATAATTTTCACAAAATTGAAAAGGTAGTTATTTCAAACGTATTAACAAAAATAGCTAGTTACTGAGCTCCAGCTCCTGTCCTCCACCTTAATTCCCTTTTGTAATTTCGTTACTATTAACCCAACTTTCTTAAAATATAAATCCGCCGTATTTCAGATGTAAACAAAATCAAAGCCGTTACCGAGTTTCAGCTCTCGTCTTCCACTTTAATTCATTCTTATATTTTTGCTATTACCAGTTCAATCCGCGAAACTTAAAACAGGTGTATTTCAGACTCAGTAACGAAAGAAAACAGAGTTGCTGTTATGGGTCCCCCACTTATTTGTTAATGGAGGAATGTACCTACAGCATCGCTGGAAAACATATCCTGGCTAAATATCAATAGTTTTATAGGGTAATGATGGCTAGTAAAAAATATTCCAGTTTACTGGGCATAAAACATAAGTCCATAACATCATACGAAAAAACTACAATCACTACCATTCACATTCTATTGCTTAATCCAGCTTCTCAAACCTTTGTATGATCAACAACAGGTCTCAAAACTGCAAACAATCAGCAGCACTAGCTGACACCAGACTCTATCCTGGCACAGTAGGACACTAGTACCTATTATGCTGCTAATACCAATACAGGGTGGTGCTGTCACAATCATTAAAAAATGAGGAATCAATATCATACACAGCACAATGGCATCACTTAAGATTCTCAGGTAAACATCTCACTAATACATGTAATAGCACCTACCACCTGGTATAAATGATCACAGCGGTAGAACAGATTCACGGTATACACTACTGCATCATAATAAATATCCTAGCAGTCAATTAACACAAATATGGCCACTAAACCCGGACCAGAGCAACATACGTCCACCCTACTAGAAGTAAGTAAGTAATTATCAAAAAGAAGGCACCAAACCAGGAAGGTTATGTAGCACCATTAAATGTGCGGGATTATCAGAGGGCGCTAAATATCACCAAGGACGCCAATACGAGAACAGAAACGCATAAGACGAACGATATAAAAAGTATCCGAGTCACCGAGAATACTATCGAGAGACAAGCGACCGCGAGGGACGGTCGGAAAACAAGACACACACTCGTTCCGGAAGTCAGGACACTCAACAAGGACATGCACGACTGTAAGAGGGACAATGCAATTAGGACAATAAGGAGCAGGGCGGCGCTCCATCAAGTGGCCATGAGTTAAGCGAGTATGGCCAATACACAACCTCGCCAGAGCCGTTTCCCATCGCCGGTTACGGTGGCAGGAGGAGGGCCACGAGGACACACAACCTTTAAAAGAACGTAGTTTGTTACCAGTAACAGACGACCAACAAGCCTGCCAACGGGTAAGCATGGAGGAATGGATAACCGGGTAAAAATCGGAATAAGGAATGCCTTTACGAGAGATGGGACAAGAGCGGACAGCTTCCCTGGCGTCAGCATTCGCACGCTCATTTAAAGAGACACCAATATGACTGGAAATCCAACAAAACTCAACCGACTTAAATTTACTGTGAACAAGAAACAGTCAATGCTGGATCTCGACAACTACTGGATGAACCGGATTAAAGGACCCGAGAGCCATGAGGGCACTACGAGAGTCAACAACAACTACAAAGGAAGATTGACAACGAGAGAGTAGGAGATGAAGAGCATAGAGAATAGCATAAAGCTCCGCTATGAAGATGCTAGTCTCCGGAGGCAAGCAACACACATAAGTGCGATCAGGAAAAACAACGTCTTCCATCTTTATATAAACTGCCATCTTTATATAAACTGCCATCTTTATATAAACTGCCATCTTTATATAAACTGCCATCTTTATATAAACTGCCATCTTAATATAAACTGCCATCTTTAACCAAAGTACAGACAAACTATGACAACAGCTGAATTGGTAATTCACTATGAGGACTTGTGCAAACTACGACAGGAAGGTTAAATAGAAATCATCCCGGATCTTCAGGAACAGCTACGAGCCTCACACCGCCACCCACCTGGTCTCCTCACACTCCTGGTCTCCTCACACCACCACGCTCCTAGTCTCCTCACACCACCACTCTCCTGGTCTCCTCACACCACCACTCTCCTGGTCTCCTCACACTCCTGGTCTTCTCACACCGCTACACTCCTGGTCTCCTCACACCGCCACACTCCTGGTCTCCTCACACCACCACACTCCTGGTCTCCTCACACCGCCACACTCCTGGACTCCTCACACCACCACACTCCTGGTCTCCTCACACTCCTGGTCTCCTCACACCACCACACTCCTGGTCTCCTCACACTCCTGGTCTCCTCACACCACCACACTCCTGGTCTCCTCACACCACCACACTCCTGGTCTCCTCACACCTCCACACTCCTGGTCTCCTTACGCTACCACACTCCTGGTCTCCTCACACCACCACAGTCCTGGTCTCCTCACTCCATTACACTCCTGGTCTCCTCACACAGCCACACTCCTGGTCTCCTCTCACCACCACTCTCCTGGTCTCCTCACACCACCACACTCCTGGTCTCCTCACACCACCACACTCCTGGTCTCCTCACACCACCACACTCCTGGTCTCCTCACACCACCACACTCCTGGTCTCCTCACACCACCAAACTCCTGGTCTCCTCACACCACCACACTCTTGGTCTCCTCTCACCACCACTCTCCTGGTCTCCTCACACCACCACACTCCTGGTCTCCTCACACCTCCACGCTCCTAGTCTCCTCACACCACCACACTCCTGTTCTCCTCACACCACCACACTCCTGGTCTCCTCACACCACCACACTCCTGGTCTCCTCACACCACCACTCTCCTAGTCTCCTCACACCACCACACTCTTGGTCTCCTCACACCTCCACGCTCCTGGTCTCCTCACACCACCACACTCCTGGTCTCCTCACACCACCACACTCCTGGTCTTCTCACACCACCACACTCCTGGTCTCCTCACACCACCACACTCCTGGTCTCCTCACACCACCACACTCCTGGTCTCCTCACACCACCACACTCCTGGTCTCCTCACACCA